TGAAAACGGGGCTCTGTTTGGCGTAGGGTGGGAGCTCAGGGGCAAAATAGGAGCATGGCTGGCTGGGGAATTCTGGGAGTTGAAGTCCACTCATTTTAAAGTGGCCAAGTTTGGACAACACTGTTCTAAACCAAAGGAGTTGAGCAGGAGTTTGCACCAGCAAACACAGACAATGTTTGTCTTTTAAAACACTACCAGGCTGAACTGTACTTGTTCTCCCTTCAAAACTCTTCATGATGCATGGAATGGTTAAGAAAACTGTATGTTGCTAGCCAACCTTTGCTCCCAGAATTAATTCCCAAGATCTTATATAGGATTCTTTACAGCAACAAATCGGTTGTAGAATTTTTAAACTGTATGTTGCTAGCCAACCTTTGCTCCCAGAATTAATTCCCAAGATCTTATATAGGATTCTTTACAGCAACAAATCGGTTGTAGAATTTTTTTTCTTTCTTCCAAAGGGAGTAAATTGGAAAGGGGGGGGGGACCTTACCTCTCACTGCTTCTACTTTCTGTTCTGTTCGATGATTATATGACTGGACACCTTTGCATCATTAGTTGACCACTGGATAGCCAGATAGTCATTGCAAAGAATTCCATAAGAAAGATGGCAACCTCAGTGTTAGAGCACAACGGCAGGTTGTAAATCAAATAAATAAGAGGGTGCACACCCGGTGACTGGTTTTGAACTAAAAACAGGAAAAGCCACTGCGTGACTCAATCATTTTGGGTTCTCCCAGGTTTTATTCAGCTTGGCCAACAGGCTTCAGAGAAGCGTTCTTCAGAAACGTGCTCGTCACATTTAGAGATGCAAAGAGGTGAAATAAAGACTGAGGGGGAAACATTGTTCTGGAGCTTTGGAGAGAAGATACTTTTTTTCTTGAAAAAAAATGAAAGAAAACTCTTCATGATGCATGGAATGGTTAAGAAAACTGTATGTTGCTAGCCAACCTTTGCTCCCAGAATTAATTCCCAAGATCTTACATAGGATTCTTTACAGCAACAAATTGGTTTAATCATTGTATGCAGATGGCAAACTCTAGAGTAGAACTTTCAAATGCAAGGGCAAAAATGCATTTCTGCCTCTGAGGAGTGCTACTATTTATTCACAAGAGAAGGAAACAGGCCACCTTTTTTGCCCATAGGCTGACTTCTTATAGATTCTGGATCAAAAGGTTGGTCAATCTGCCCTCCACTAGACCACAAAAGACAGTGAGCGAAGGAGCCATTGATTTATTTATATTTGTAAACAGAACTGTATTTCAGTTTGTCTCAAAATTTCCATTCCACCCCCCCCCCAAAAAAACAGAAAATATATCCCATTTTTTTCCGTTTTCAAAAACATTACATTTCGACTCACAATTACATCACAGGTTGCCTCATAGTAGTTCAGCACTATTGGATGAAGCATTGGCTTCTACAATAACTCAGGGACAGTATCTTTTTTTCCATTGACGATTACCAGAAAGTTAATTGGGTAGACAAATTTAAGCACACAATTTCAGTTACGCTAAGCCACCGATTCTCAAGCTTTCTACATCCAAGAGGATTAAAGTTCACGAAAGCCAATCTTCCCCCAAATGGCAGCCAAAATAGGCAGAACCAGAGCATAGAACATGTACCACAGAAGGAAACATATAATCTGGATGACAGGGTTATTGATTTCAAGAAAAACAAGCCATTACTCCGACTGTTTCTACTATTAATATCATCAGAACAGGTGGAATTACCTAGCTGGCTTTGGCTGATTTCCAACAGCTGAACCAAGTTGGACTGGGTCAGTATTTGGATGGGAAACCACCAGGAAAACTCAGGAGTAGGCTAGAGTAAGAGTTGAGAAGAAACCCAGAAGATGGCAATGGCAGACCATTTCTATACTGTTATCAATGAAACTACAAGGCTGTGTCCATGAAGCTACCAAGAGCCCAGTTCAACTCAAAGGAATCTTTACCTACTTCTTTCATAAACCAACTGGAAGACATATGCAGGGATCAGAAAGCTCCAAGTATCATCTGAAACAAACCTGAAACCCACAGGAATATCCAGAGACAAGAAATACTACCTTAAACTAACCTTTGCTAACCTTGGCACCCTTCAGATATGGACTTCGGTTCCCAGAATTCCCCAGCCAGCATGACCATTGAAAACTACATACCTGGAGAATGCCCAGAAGGCGGTCATAGTCTCTCCAATATGAGAAATTAGAAGCTTGAACAACCCTATAAGGGTGCATGGATGACTGAAAAAAATATACAGACAAACCTTTGAATATTTGAAAAAGTCTAATATCCCTAGTGTGAAGACTTCCAAACGGAACAAAACGCTATCATCTAATCACCCCTGCAGAATATCAGACTTCAGGCAACTGTATGCCAGATTTTTCCCAGCCTAATGGATAGATTTGCTCAACCATTTGTACAAAACATGCCAGGTAAAATGGATGTGTGGGAATTCAGCACTACTAAGGACAGCCAATGCTAAATCTATTAA